TTTCGCCCAGGATCCTTTGAACCCGGACAAATTAAAGACAAAAAGATGAAATGACTTTTCATGCACATGTCGGGAGGGAGATTGTAAGGTGTTAACATGACCGGCCAACATGAATAGTTCTTGCCAAACCTGCCAAAAGGAGCAAATCCATCTGAGCACAATCCCAGCCGCACATTTCGTGGCTCCATAGCAAACTGAGGATGACAACGGTCAAAGTGTCTCCAGGCTTCACAGTCCGAAGGGTGAGCCATCATACCCTCGTTGGTTTCGTGCTCAACATGCCATGTCATGTGTTTCGCAGTAGCAGTCGAAGCGTACATCCTTTGCAGTCGAGGAGCTATTGGGAGGTAATACAGTTTAGACAGTGCAGACCTATGTCGTGGTTTCTTTTTATTTTGACGAACAGGTTTGTATCTGTCTCCACCACAGAACTTGCAGAACTCAAGTGCCTCATCCTCCTTCCAGAACAACATACATCCTTCCGGGCACGCATCAATTTCAACACAAGGTAGCCCCAACTTAGACATTAACTGCTTCATGTGGTAATATAAATCGGGAAGGGTATGATCTCGCGGTAGCATCCCTCCTACTGACTGCAAGACTCTATTCATGCAAGTTTCAGGGAGACTGTATTCGGCTTTTATGTTCATGAACTCAGTAACAGCGGATAGCTGAGAGTATCCCTCACAATCAGCATACAGAGGTTGGTCGACAGCTTTTAGAACATCCTGAAATCTCTCAGCCAAACCTTCATCCACATAAGGTTGATAAAATGTCGGATTTTCATCCGCATCTGGTTGATACGAGGTTGAGGCTTCAGGGGGGTCGTTAGGTGGTTGTGGGGGGTTGAATTGAGACGGTACACCGTATGCGTCATATACCATTTGTTGGTCCCACCTCATTTCAGCACGGTCTCCCCACGCACTCATCTCTGGAGGGACGTAACGAGACGAACCTACCGTTTGTGGTATAACAGATGGATCCAAAGGTTCGCCGTGAGAAGTCCAATTATAATAATTGGGAACAAAACCGACCACGTACAAATCATACCCAACTTCGTGTGGGTCTTTAAATTTGAGATTTTTACACTTTGAACATGGACATCTTATTTTATCACCACTCATATAAGCCGGATGTTCAAGTGCAAATTCAATAAATTCCCCGACTCCCTCGAGAAAATTTGATTGCATTCCGTACAATACCGCATCTTTATCATACATCCAACTTCTATTTTGTTTATACATTATGCCTGAATATTATAATAAAAAATTATATGAAATGCAATGCACACAATTTTAAGTAATTTATTTCACTAAATATAATCAACTAATTTTCACTTTTTTTAAATGAAATGCACAGAATTCACATCTTAGTTATGCACAAAATATATTTCCCCTAATGCACAATAATGCAGATAATTTCACTAAATTAAACATACGTTTAATTAAATCTAACTAATTCATTTAGTTAAATTTAACTAAATTTAAGTAGTTCATTCCGTCCCCTTTTAATGCATCACTACGTTTAAACTTACGTTTAGCTACCTAATTTAACTTAATTAACACATCAATAGCTACGTTCAAACCTACGTTTAGCAAACGAATTTTAATTAAATTATTTTTGTAAACCTACGTTTAAACCTACACTAAATTATTACGTTAATGACATTTAATCTTATTAGTAATACACAATTAACAATTCACTAAATTAAATAATATGACCAAATTCAACCCAATAATTTGAACATGTATATAAAGTTATTTGAATTAATAAGCAATACACAATTCACAATAACAATTCACAATTCACTTAATTAACACATTACTAACGTACGTTATTTGAACTAATTTCACTAAACATAAACATCATTACGTTTTAAACCACATTTATCTAACTAATTTTAATTAAATTATTTTAATTTATAAACCTAAAAGTTTAACTAATTCTAATTTATGACATTACTACGCTTATAGTTAAAACATGTTGTTAATTAATTAACAACCTCACTAATTTAATAGTTTTAATAATTTAAATTGAACCAACTAATTCTAAATAAAAATTATAATTCAAATAACATACCTTATCTGCATAAACAGGGAAAATGATAGAAGATAGACTACATCCTTCGATCTACGGATACTGTATATACTGGGAATGAATTGGTGTGGTTCTGTTGAATGAATGAGCTGCTCCTGCATATATAAAAAATTTAGTCACGGACTTAGTCACGGATTTGTCCGTCACTAAGCAAAACCGTGTCCAATACGCGTCCAACACGTGTTAATTACGTGTAAATGACGTGTTAATCAACATAGTCACGGAACTAGTCACGGATATGGCCGTGACTAGATTTATCCGTACATAATGCCGTTGCGAATTAACTAAGGGATTGAAAAAAATTAAATTTTAACTATAGTCACGGACTTAGTCACGGATTTGGCCGTGACTAAGTCGTCAGAATCAAATAAACTTCGCCGAAAACGGGAATGAGGAATTAAGTCACGGTCCACGACCGTGACTAACATTAGTCACGGTCGTAGTCACGGTCCTGACCGTGACTATTTTTTTTTTAAATTTCCGTGACTAGTCCGTGACTAGACCGTGACTAAACTAGTCACGGACGAAATCCGTGACTAAAATCCGTGACTATAACGCTGTTTTTTTGTAGTGTCTAGCCCATTACAAAATACATAATCCAATGCAAAATTGGATCATTGGCCTGTCTGTACTCTATAAAAGAGCCCAATTTTGTGCAATAATTAACTTACGTCATGTGTAAAAACCTTCCACCGCCTCCGTCCTCTTCCGAGTCCTGCTTTTCTTCCGACAGGACATTTTTAATTTACTTCTCTCAACAATTGAATTCTCTATGCTCTAAACAACCTCCCAACCATGCCATTATATAGAACTATAGAAGACATTGACCATAGCCAAAATTCAGCAGGTCATTGGGTGCGTACATGGGTAATTCAGCAGCTACTACTGACATGTTAATCTATTTACAAAATAATTGGTTAAACCAATTTTCCTTCAATTATCGTGTGAAATTAGACAATGTTAATTAGATATAAAAAAATAATAAATGAAAAAGCATATCCATGTTTCATTTCTTTAACGACACATTCTTCTTAAAAAAGTTATTTATTCAGTAATATATGGATTTTTTTGACTGTATAGTATATGGATTATTTGTTACTACATATATTTACTAACAAGGATGATCTGGTCTGATCTGGCCTGGTAAACGTCTGGTCTCTGTGTATTTTATAACTACGAAAGTCTGGTCTGGTCTGGTATGGTCTGGTACTGAAAATAGTCCAAAAGAAAACGATCTGTAAGGTATACCACAGAGTGTCAGCCTCTTTAAATAATTTCAAGAATTGAAGATACTTGTTAGATTCTAAGAAGTACACGATTCCTTTTTATAGGAAGATCTTAGTTAAAAGTGCATCATTCATTTATTCTTTCCTTTAACCTTCAAAGTATATCGATCTTCAATACATCATCCTCTTCCATATTACTAACAGCTACTAACCAAATCTAAATGCGTATTTACTTTTGCTAATACTAAACATATAAAAATAGTTTGAATAAAATCTCCCGATTAGGTTTGACTAAATCTGCCTATTTTCCCCAACAAATAGCCTACGTGTAGTTAGTGGCGGAGCCACTCTTATTCCAAAGTGTTCATATGAACACTTAAATTTTTGGACATAAGTATATAAGTATAAATTTATAATGATTATTTATTACTCTTTACATTTTTAGTTGTTAAAAAATATTGAACACCCAAAATGTAAACTCCAATTCCAAGTACATTTTCTTTATTAGTTACCGACCATGGTTTGAAATAGCGGTCCGTTACCGCTATAGCGGCCGCTATATAGCGGTCGCGATAGGGGCCGCTACCGCTACGGCCCGCTATTCGTGTGTGATTTCCAAATCACGGGAAAAATCCGCTACGCTGCCCGCTACAGCCCGCTATTGACTTTTCCGGCAGTACATCACGAACTGTTTGATGTGTAAATGTGTAAATGTTGTGTGAATGATGTGAAAAATACATTAATGGTGATGCATGGAGTGAAACTCAAAATTATATGTTGTGTGAATGATGTGAAAAAATACATTTATGTTTTGCGCAATTGAAAATATTTCACGCCGCTGCAACCGCTACAGTCGGCTACAGGCCGCTACAGGCCACTACCGCGATGACCGCTACCGCTACCGCTGCCGCTACGGCTATTTAAAACCTTGTTACCGACATAACTTTTTTGGCCTTTTCGGAATTTGCAATTTCTATACTGTTATTAAATGTAACATGTAATCGCGTGAAACACACTACATCATTCTGCTCTACAAACTTTTGGCGGGAACTTGCTCCGCAAGTTTCCTTTTGCTATTATATTATATTATATAATAATAGATTTGCATCATTGAATGGGAGAAGAAACTTTACAAAGAAGAAATTACTAGTATTTCTTCACTTGGGTAGTTCATTATATTCATTGAGTCATGTCAAAGAAAGGGTTTATTTTAGTTTTCTATATAGCCCTTCGCTGCCTATTTAAAAGTCTCTCTTTTCTTTTCGAATCGTCCCTAAAAGTCTCATTTTCTTATTTAGTAAACAAAACAGTGTCAAACAGTTTCCAAACAGTGCCACCTTTTTAAATTATACTATACGTAGTATGTAAAAAGAAAGGACACCTTTAAATTGGGACGGAAGGAGTATTATTTTCATTTGCTTTATCATCGTGTTTCTTGCATTAGTTGGTTTGTTTATTTTGTCATATGCTGATATGCATGACTAATTTTAAACAAATGCATCTGAACACACTATTAATTATCGGATAATGACATTAAAAACACCATAAAACTTATCAAGTTCAACGAGAATTCAGAGTTACACTCCTTTAAATTAAAAATTACAATGTATATTAGACTAATTTATATTATATTGATGGATCTGAACTCAGCTCACACCAAAGTGATATTTTAGCATGCATAAGTACAATGCCCTCTGCAGATCGATTGTTGATTCTTGAACTAGTCCTCAATGGCGACATGCAAATTTTGGGTTAGTGTGGGCAACACTGAATTGAAGCAAGAAATTAAGCTAATTAGTCCACTTGATTAAATAAGCTTTCAAGAATTCACCTAGCTACCTAGCTCTATGAATTACTACCTAATAAAGGAAAATTCTAAAAGGTACCCAAAATGGGTGGCCATAAATGAGGCAATTCTTTTAAGTGGGGCACCACTTAAATGAGTTAGCTCATTTAAGACACCCATTAGGGTGGGGAGCAAATGGGGTACCCCATTTTGGGTACCTTTAGCAAAGCTCATTAATAAAATATAATTGTAATTGAATAGGTGACATATTAATGCATGTGTTTTCTATTAGTTTATAACTTTAGTCACTTGTAAATAATACCCCGTATCATGAAACATAACTAATAACTTTACTTCACTTGGACTGGATGTACACACTTTTTGGTGTATACACTCTTACATATGTTTGTGTAGATTTTTTTTTGTCATAGACAAAACGTATTTGTCCAAAAAAAGTGTCCACAAAGAGTGAAAGAGTATGATTGACTTTACTTTTCCACCCAAATGTACTATGGAGTACTTCTGATGGAAAATTCCAAGGCAGAAACATGTTTCCAAGTGCATTTTTTGTCGGAAGCACTGCATTATACGAAGTATTCTCGATAAGTATTTAATATGAAAAAACCGGCTCCGTATTAGTTATATGACATGATTTGCAAGTAAGTTATACTACTAATATTGACATATTCATAAGTTACGAGACTAAATTAATTGGTATATCCATCTCATACATTCTACTAGGCATATATATTCGAAAACATAAAATTAGTACACAGCTGAATCGTACACAACCTTCTAGTTATCTGTGTACACAAGCAATTCATTTGAAAAAAGATACTCCTACTTATATTGGAGTAGAATTTTACGTCAAAATGTCTGTGTGCACAAGTAGTTTACAATTTGTGTACACTTATGTGTACACAAAAAATTACCCATACTCATATATTCGAGATAATTACCTCTCAACCCCAAAGTTTGACTGTGAGAAGGGGCTATTGACGAGTGTTGATAAATCATTTAAACAGTTGTTTGACAAGTCACTGTGAATGAATGAGATGAGTACTATCAATTACTCCGTAAAAATATCATTCGTAAAATAAGATTATATGTATATATATAATTCATCTATTCCATAAATAGCACATCTTTTACCATGGCACGAGAATGAGAAAATGTTAGAATTAATTGTCAGAAAGTTTTGTAGAGGACGTATATACATAAAATATGAAACATAGGTTCTTTAATTTGCCTAAAAAGGGAAAAAAAATTATGTTGGTACAGACTGAATAGAGAAAAGAATGAATTGTATATTGGGACCCTAGTTAGTTAAATACGGTACGGGAATTAAACGAGGTTTAATACATACGCGTTTTATTCGGTAACATAAATGAAAAACGGTCAAAAATTCGTTGAAAAAAACGTTGACTTTTAAAAAACGTGTAAATACGTATACATGTATAATACGGTATTTGTTACAAAAATTCGAACTATAAATACGGGGTATTATTTTGAACATTTAAATTATATACTTCACAAAATCACATATATGGTGAAAAGAAATAAAAGTATACACATATTCAAGTAGCAAACCCCATTACTACATAAAAGAATAATCCGTAATTGCATAAACGATGACAAACATTAAAAATAGTAATTAATTCAAAGACATAATTTTGCAAACTAATGTTAAAAAAACGAGGCATAATAACAATAGAATGAGACTAAGTTAAAATCATTATCTTTATTTGATCATCAAATAACACTCAAGTTAAACTCATCATTTTCATCAAGATGACAGATGACATATGAGAAAAGTTGTGTGACTGCTACGTTTATTATTGTTTATGTGTAAAAACTTATACTTAAAAAAATGCAAGGTTTAGAAAAAACTTTAATTTTGATATGCTTGTTCGGAAACACATTATAAACCCAATAATATTTCACATTTTAGTATTTTAGGATGCTAGTTGTAGCCACCATACAAATAATTTTGGTATTCAATAATTGCATTGTAACAATACAAAAATACGAGGTCACGGGAAGGAAGTTTTCCATTTTTATTTTAAACTATTGTTGATCTTCTATTCATTTAATGCATTCACTCAATTGACCCGTTCATGTTTATATTTTTTTGTAAAATACGGGAAAAATACGTTTTATATGGGAAGTAAGAGTTTTTTTCCTTTTTAAACACACCGACATTATTTTTCGTTTTAAACGTGTTTTTTTTGCTCAAAAAAACGGTACGTGTTTAAAACGCAAAAAAGCTAACTAGGAATTTGGGACCAAGGGAGTATATAGATTCAACGCGGTGACCTAAAAAAATATCAATGCATTTTATTATATACTTACAAATGTTGGAGTTTATCAAGTAGTGTGGCTAGCGACTTTGGAATAGCACCCGTCAAACGATTATTGTTGATCCGCCTTCAAATTTCCATCCAAAAAGAACGAAGTTTAATAGAGAATAAAAACGGTTATATTTTGAAATTTCAAAACGTTTTTACTTCTATTCAGGACAATTTCTATTAAATTTATACCCAAATCTATTTTAAAAAGGCAAATCTTGAGTCGAGCCCGTGCCCAAAATCAACCCCGTGAGGCCTTCACAAACCTATGGTCCTATATACTTATTTTATATAGCTGATAATTATTTAATGTACATATCTATGAGTATTAGTGAGTTTAACATGCTTATTTTCCCATCTTGTTCTTAAGCATGCCACGATCTGCTTATTTGGACTAAAATTTAGACTACTTCATTTAGGTTTGATTTGGTGTAGTCCGATCTTGTCTTGTGTTATGTGTAGTTAAACTCACTTGAGAGGCCATGAGTCATGACTACTTTGGGTTGATAGTTTCTGGCCTGGTTAAGTTTAATCTAATTTGAAGCAAATAGGTAATGAGAGTTTGCCTCCATCATTTGCAATGGAGCCAAAGACTAACTACTTTTTGGCTTGGGAATATGATTGAATAAAATAAAATGACTCACTAAACTGTCTGTGCTTCTTTGTTATGAAGCAGCAGTCAGAGCATGCAATTTTCGTCGCGATTTTCACTATAAGTCATCCAGAAACAGTGTCTTTGTGCTTTAGTACATGGGTAAGACTGCGTACATCCGACTCCCCTTACCCCATCGTAGGTGGGGAGCTTTTGTGACAGTGGGGTGATGATGATGATGAGGTAATGAGAGTTTGAACTTTGAATCCCCCCATAGGTAACAATTAAGTTGAACTTTGAATCCCCCCATAGGTAACAATTAAGTTGAGTTCCATCGGACCTCTTGCTATATAGCTAGTTGCTCGGTTTTCATAGTAAAACTATATAATCTTATCCTCTCACACTATTTACGAGCTCCCTAGCTAAGGACATGTGAAAGAACTGTATAGAGAGGATTGAAAAGTAATGTTCCACAGTTTCACTTTTATACTCATTTTGGCCTTTTGGATTTTGGACGTAAACCTTTTTTCAAATGAAAAGGGTGATTTCTGTATTTGACTCATGAGTTTAAACGAATGCCAAAAGTAAAAATGAGGCAAAATAATGATGGAGAATGGAGATTAAATTAAGACTTACAATAATGTTAGATTATTGTAATTGCCCAAAGAGGGAGGGATATAACCGGTGAACTTGTTATCACTTAGATCCAAGTGAGTCAACTTCGATAAGTTGCCTAAGGTGTAGGGGATTTGACCACTCAAACTATTATCGCTGAAATCCAGCACTTTCAAGTTCTTGAATAAGCCAAATTCCATTGGGATCTCACCTCCTAAGTAATTGCTAAAAAGCGTCCTGGAAAGCATGCCATAATTTAAACATTAGCTGGGGCATAACTCACCCAGTGAGTAGAGGTGTCATAAAAAAGACGTCTGAGTTCAATTCAAAACAAAGGTTTAGACTGAAACTTCAATTTCTTTCCACCAGTGTGATCATAAGTTCATAACTCAATTTATATCTTCAATTCGCATATAATCCCTTTTAAGAACTTGAACATTAAGTAACATAAATAGAAGTAGAATACTATTTACTTGCAATTAGTTATACTTACAAGGTTGTGAGAGTGTCAAGTGTGAATAATGATATGGGGAGAGTACCAGACAATCCGTTATTGTTGAGCCTCCTACAAATCCCACAAAACAAGAAATTTAATAGCGGGGAATTTAAATATATAAAGTTTCCCAAAAAGTAACATAAAAAGAGGTGTGAATGAGTTTCCTAAATGAATTTTAGGCATTAAAAAAAGTACGATAACACATACAGAAATTTGAGATGAAAATAATTGCCCAAAGCGTGAGGGATTGGTCCGGACAAGTAGTTATTGCTCAGATCCAAGCTCACCAAGTTTTCTAAGTTCCCAAGTTCATCTGGAATTTTACCATTTAATCTATTGCCTTGAAGATGCCTGAAACACATACATGAGAGCTATATTTTAATTGGTAGACTAAACAAAATCAAGCAGAAGCAAATAAATGTCATGGTAATTGTTTAATTTATACGATCCTCGTTCTTTAATTCTTGCAAGAGTTTGACTTTCACGTTTGCCGATGCACAACTTTGACTGTAATTATATTTAACTATGAATTAGTAAACATTATAAAAAGTTTGATTTTTTTGGAAATTCACATTAATAGGAATTCAATAACATTGTATACTTAATAATTTGATTGTGTATATTAGTAGACAATTGTGGTCAAAGTAAGATCCGCCAATATATAGTGCAAAAAATACAATGTTGCTAGAATTAAAGAACGGAGGAAGTATCTAACTTAAACCCAAAATAAAAGACGAAGTATAACTTTATTAAAAGCATTATTATACTTACAAGGTTTTGAGGGTATTAAGTGTGATTAAAGACATGGGGATACTACCAGTCAGCCTGTTATTGTTGATCGAGTTTCCTTCAAATTTGCACCAATAAAGAAAAGCATGAAAAATAATGTTCCCAAAAATAAAAGAAATAGACTATACACAGGGGGCAGCAAGAATAGGTTATTTGATGCACATTAATTAATTATAGTTTAATGAAAGTCAAATATGTGGCACATTATAGTTAAAAAGAAGAGTAACGAACCATGTTTAATTAGGCAATGTGGATAATTTTACTTTTATATTTCGAATGACTTATACATGATTAAAATAAAACAATGGATAAAAATGTGATGCTAAACCATTCCCAACTTAGTGTTGCTATCAAAAGAAAGTCAGCGTACAAATATTCGAGATGAAAGTAATTGCCCAAAGTGTGAGGGATGTCATGGCTGAAACTGTTATTGCTGAGATCCAAGTCGACCAAGTGTTCTAATTGGCCAAGCTCAAGAGGAATCACACCACTTAAATTATTGCCTTGAAGATGCCTGAAAACATGCATAAATTACCACATAAATTTCATAAGTCATGAATACTATTATCACAACATAATCAAGTTACGATCCTTTTTTGAAAACTGATGACCCTTCGAATTCTACAACATTCTAAGATTCAAACCTTTGAAGATTTGAAGATATAAAGAACGAAGTGTTAAAGTATTTGTCCCACATCGAAAAGCTATAAAACAATAAAATACTATATAAGACTTTGTACTACTCTTCCTATCAGGTTGACCTTTTAGGATGGAACCCGGGTTTTAACATGGTATCAGAGCCAATTACGGTTGTGGTTTGACTGCTTGTATAACACCCATGATTACGGCTAGCTTGTTAAGGGTCCGTTGGCCCATTTATACACCTCGATATTGTCCAGGCCAGTTCGATCTGAGAGGGCGTGTTGAAGTATTTGTCCCACACTGGAAAGCTATAAAACAATAAAATATTATATAAGGCTTTGGCCTACTCCTCCTATCAGGTTTACCTTTTAGGATGGAACCTCAGGTCTTAACACGAAATTTTGAAGAATTGAAGATCCGAAAATTGAAGGTTTGAAGATTCGAAGATCCGAAGAACGAAGATAAGAAGAACACAAATCCGAAGATTTCAAGAACAAAGACTTGAAGATCCGAAAAACGTTTGAATATTTGAAGAATTATAGATATAATTTTGAATTAAATTCTTACAATATATTCATTTCAAATTATAAGTGAAGAATCAGAGGATTGAGATTGAAACCAATATTCTTATAAGTAAATACTTAAAAATTTGTTTCTAATAATTGTTTTACGAGAATCATATTAATACACTTTTGCACGAATTTCGTAGTCTCGTCAAAGTTTGGGAAACGGGTCAGTGTGTAGTTACTGCACGTATATGGATCTGTACCTGTTCGACATTAAAGAACATTATGGGTTTAAATATGTATGTACAACAACGATAGTTAAGCGTTCATCTCAATATCCGTGATATATGACATCAGAGTTAAAAGCAATAAAATGATTATTTATAAATGATTTGTTGAAAATTTTAAAGGAGAGTTTGACTTTACAACTTACGTTTTGTTAAGACACGGAGTTCCATCCTAAAAGGTCACCTGATAGGAGGAATAACCCATATGTGAATATAGCACTTTGTTCATCCAAACTTTTCCGGTGTGGGACATTTAACACCCCTCCTCACGACCAGACACTTCGTCTGGATCGTGTCATCGTTCATTTTTTTTTCATGGGTCCATTTTTTCATCCGACCGTAATTGTAATTTTTTATAATCGTGTCATAAGGGCCCCCACACCATGGATCGATTTGTCTCTGATACCATGTTAAGACACAGGGTTCCATCCTAAAAGATCAACCTGATAGGAGGAGTAACTCATGTGTTAATATAACACTTTGTTCATCCAAACTTTTCCGGTGTGAGACATTTAACACGTTTTGAGTGATATTGGACTTTGCACCTCATTTTAAAAAAGGAAATTGCCCTAAATAAGAGTAAATGAAGTTTGAAATTCCAAAATAGGACTATATTTTTCTTCCCAAAATAGGAGTTGTTACTGCCATGATTGAAAAATACTACCATTAATTGTAATAAATATTGTCATGTTAAATGCACTGTACTGCAATTATTTGGCAGTCACGCCTATAAGATGAAAGTAAATACTGTCATGTTAGTGCTATTTCGGGAATAAAAACATAGTAGTCTTATTTTGGAATTACAAACTCCATTTACTCCTATTCAGGGAATTCTCCCTTTAAAAAAACTTTTACTTTGCACTTCATTTCACTTAAAATCACTACAACATTTCAACCCCTAATGTACCACCAAAAAGTGTTACAATATCACTAAAAAGTGTTACATTAGAGAAAATGTAACACTTTTTTACCATTACATTTGGTCATGTTGCATTAAACCTATTGTAACACTTTATAGTCCATAATGTAACATTTATACTTCTATAAAGTGTTACACTAGGTTTAAAAAGTGTTACATTAGAGAAATATGTAACACTTTTATAGATATGTTACATCTTTAATGTTACTTTAGATCTAAAAATGTAGTAGTGAATCCTTTACGTTGCACCTCAAAGTGTTCCATTAGAAAATCATTTTAGCTACTTTTAATACTAGCTACTTTTTCTTCATTTTATTAATAAAACATGTTTTAAATACATTTTTTCCATAGTTCAACTAATTTAGTCATATATTTCAGCCAACATTTCATCAAGTTCGATCGGCATATTCACCCAATTTCACCAATTCTAGTGTTACCAAACAAGCTTTAAATGTTATTTATTTTTTGTACGGCTATTTATTTGATAATTTAATATTTCACATATTTATTATCCATTTACTCATCAATGTTATTTTTGTTTTATAATTAAAAATAAGGAGTACATGCTGATTTATTGTGATTGTGTACAGACTAAAAGGCGCATTAGAGCATCTGTAATGCATGGTTAATTTCTATTTTTTTACAATAAATGTTACGTTAATATAAAAATACAAATATTGTTTAAATTTGGGGGTCAAATCCCTACTTCCTCCTGTGATTGCAAGGACGTAAATACATCATAAATAATACGGAGTAATATGATAAATAAAATAAAAAACAAAAAGAGCTTACAAGTGCGTTAGATTTTTAAGGTTACCGAGCTCCGGAACTAGATTACCACTTAAATTCGCATTTCCCAGTTCACTGAAATAAACATAAAATTGGGTATCTATCAACAAGTCCAAAACACAAACTAATTAAAACTAATTAAGAACAAAACCTAGTTATAAATTATGATTGTATGAATAATAATTGATGGGTCAAAACTAGTAATTCTTATTAATTGTGACATATTTCAAAATATTCTAAATGATCGAAATAAGTTTTCCTAAATTATTCAAACATTCGAATTGTATTTGAATACATAAATGTAAGGTAATTAAATTAAATTAATGCATAAGGGGAACTTTATGTATACTTCCGTTGTTCTTTTTTAGTTGCAACGGTCCACTTTGCACACTCGCCAACACAAACATTTGACCATAAATATATCTTATTCTCCATTAGTAAGAAAAAAGGATTATATTAGCTAAATATATCCCCAACTATCATCAAATTCACAAATTTATTATATTCTTTCATTTCTCTTAAAAAAGACTTAAACTTCAACTTTTCTTACAATTAAACTTTCAATGGATGAATTAGTAAAATCTAAGAAGAAAATCATATTTATATTTCATATTTTTCATTTCTTTCTAGTTTTAAGTTTATAAACTTGTATTGATTATATATTTTTTGTACAAAACCTTTTTTATACAAAGAATAATCTTTTTTTTTTACTTGTAATAGGATTAGTATTACTTGTAATTAATCAACTTTTGGTGATTAACATGTGAAAGATAACTATAAAAATGAAATTTTTACATTCAATTATATATATATAGAAAGAATTCAGAAATTTCTAGGTACGTATCAAATAATAATATTAAATAAATATTATTTATTTATTAGTGTTTAATCTATCTATTTTAGCAACCCCTATATTTTTTAGCTATTTTAAAAACATGAATATATTAGCTACTTAGTTCACTGGTTAGTTGGAGTACCATTCTATATCAGTTTTGAGATTTTATTAGAAAATTTTCAATTGTAGATTATTATACATAATTAAATTTTTTAGGTTTGATTTAAGTTCTTGCGAATTCATGAAAATAAATAGAATTAAACAATTAACAAAAAATATGAAATTTAATACTACGTAGTAATATATAAAAAATATTGATATTGATAAAAATGTATGATTTTGAAAAAACAAAACAGAAAAGCATAAATTTGGAAAAAGATGAAGTTTTTGTCCTTTTTGATAAAAATTAAATAATAGAATATATTTGAAATTTTGATGATAGTGTGAAATTAAATAAGCTAACAATTCTAAGAAAAATTAAAAATAGATATTCAAAATCTGTAATGAGATAAAAATTGATTTTTTTAAAATAATTCTCATATATGAATAAATAAAAAGGGAAAAGTACAGAAAAGGTACATGTGGTTTGGGCCATTTTCATATAGGGGCACATGCTTCATTTTTTAACAAAGTGGGACACATGTTTCAATCCCGTCATCACAACAGAGGCATGACGTCTAACGCCGTTAGAAAATCTAAACCAATTTTCAAAAGTCTCTAAAACATTAAAAGAAAAATACTGGGAGGTGCGCCTCGTCAAGGAGACCAACAAACTATCTTTCTTTTTTTGTTTCCAACCACCATGTCACCAAAAAAACCTCCGGATAAGTGATATTAAAAAATTCATTTTAAAAAACAATCCAAATAGAACCGAAAAATTCAAAGAGAATGATAGTTTGTTGGTCTCCTTGACGAGGCGCACATCCCAGTATTTTCCTTTTAATGTTCCGAAAACTTTTGAAAATCGGGTTAGATTTTCTAACGACGTTAGACGCAATGCCCCTACTATGATAACATAATTGAAACACATGTCTCACCTTGTTAAAAAATGAAACATGTACCCCTATCTGAAAACGGTCCAAACCACATGTATCATTTATGTACTTTTCCCAAATAAAAATGTAGAGCATGTAAATAGTAATAAAAAGGGAAAGTTCCCGAAATGGGACTAAAAAAGTTTGAAAATTCCAAAATAGGACTGTCATGTTTTTATTCCCAAAATAGGACTAATTACTGCCAAATTTGGAAAATACTGCCAAATTTGAAGTCTGGTACTGCCAAAACATGACAGTAATTAGTCCTATTTTGGGAATAAAAATATGAAAGTCCTATTTTGGAATTTCCAAACATTTTTAGTCCCATTTTGGGTAATATCTCTAATAAAAACTTGTAAAAAAAAACTTAACAACTTACAGTGAAACAACGGTGGCTTTGCCTGTAGCCTTGTCAGCGCGGCACCAAACATGAGGCCATCGTGTGTAGGATTCGCCATTGCTCTTCGGTTCACAACAAGGATCGTCATTGGCGACCCAACCAGCTAAGGCCCCGTTTGGATCAACCAAATTCTTCTTCAATGCATGCAAGGCATCACCTGTGCCCATTTATTTAATTAATCCATCACAAATAATGAAAATGCCATCATATAAAGTTAACCAATGTTAAAGTTAAGGGTCTGTTTGCAACAGCTTCTACTTTTAAAAAAGTGTTTTTTTTAATGAAATGAGGAGAAGTGATTAAATAAAAGTTGATAGTGTTTGAGAAAAAAGTGATTTTGAAAAGTTAAAGTGGGTAGTGTTTGGTAAAATAAGTGCTTTTTGTGTAATAAAAAAAGTAAAAGCACTTTTGACGCGGAAGCCGAGAAAAATAAAATTTGTAGTGTTTGGGAAAATAAGTGCTTTTTTAAAGCCAAAAGCTGAGAAGTGCTTTTTTAAAAGGAGTTGCAAACCAACCCTAAATCCTCCATATTGATAATTAATTTAATTTTTAATTTAAAATTTACATATTCAGAAACCACATTAAAATCTCTTGAAAGTTGTAAACTCCAAATTATAATATAATTACGCTACAACATTTCAACATCTAATGTATCACCCAAAAGTGTTACAATAGCACTGAAAAGTGTTATATTAGAGAAAATGTAACACTTTTTTACCATTACATTTGCTCATGTTGCATTTGACCTATTGTAACACTTTATAGTCCCTAATGTAACATCTATACTTCTAGAAAGTGTTACATTAGGTCTAAAAAGTGTTATATAAGAGAAAAATGTAACACTTTTATAGGTATGTTACATCTTCAATGTTATGTTAGGTCTTAAATTATAGTAATGTTAAAACTTGACATTTTAATTAAGTGTATAAATGAATTGAAATTGTTTAATTAACAAAATTCAATTTTGCAAATCAATTCAGAACATATGAACGGAGTTAGTAGGTTTTAGGAAGAACAAACCATCAGTGTTGCCGGAGACTAATGACGAAAGAAAATAAAATGACAGCAGCGGTAAGTATAGGAAGCAGCATTGTTCAAAATCATACTACTTGATTGTTCAAAAAATTATAATATCATACTACTTGAAATCCCTATACTAAAAAGGAGTAGTAAAGATCTTTTCACAATCAGATATGTACATATTCGAATATAACAAAGTTTTGGAAAATATTGGAATAGACTGTTTTATTATTTCAAATCCCCACTTGAGTTATATACTAATAAAGGATCACTTAAGCGCACTTACCACTACAAAAAAACACGCTATAGGCGTGGTTTTCGGCTTGGATCACTTCACAAAATTCGCAGACTATTGCCTTTGGCTTGGATTTGGATAGGATAAGGGATCCGTGCCACCTTGCTTGATACAAATGTGTTGGCTCGGATAATATAATCTGAGTCAAGGTTTGACGTTGACTTTGGCTCTCATTCTGCGAGCCGATATTAGCTGTCAAACCCACTATAATTTGGTGTGGACTACTTCTAGTTCGGAGTTTGGCACGGCTAGTGCGATGCGAAATTGGCTTCGATTATTACACTAATTTGGATCGGAAACTTGCCGAGCCAACTTGGATCAGAAATATTCAAGCCAATTTTGTCGAATAACGGATATATCTGAGCCAAATGATCATCCGGTTTTAACTACTTGGCTAGGGTTTTTATCCAAGCCAAAAGTATTTCATGTTTAAAAAACGTATACAATACTTTCCTACGATATACTACGAGTACGTTTTTTTATGGGAAAAGTGTCAAATAGGCCCTCTACTAATACGAAAAAGACAATTAAGTTCCCGAACTCAAAAAACACTCAATTAAACCCACGAACTATAAAAAACGAGGCAAAACAGCCCTTTTAGCATGTAATTAACCGGTTCCCAGTTCCATTAGTCCACGTGTCGCACACGTGTCGCCACGTGTCGCCATTTGTGGCCACCTGTCGGCTGTCGCCACGCGTAAAGGTTTACTTGGAATCGGTTAATTACATGCTAAAAGGACTGTTTTGCCTCGTTTTTTTATAGTTCGTGGGGTTAATTGGGTGTTTTTTGAGTTCGGGGGCTTAATTGACTTTTCCGTATTAGTAGGGGGCCTATTTGACACTTTTCCCTTTTTTTATACATGTTAAAAACATTTTTTGGAATGAAAAGTTAAAAACATTCATTAAAACAGAAGAAAATTATAGGTATCCAACACATGCAATAAGCAGAACCGCAAACATACAATATAATAACAGTAAAAACAATAAACTGTCCGAACAAAATTGCTAACATTGCCATTGCAAATTGTCCAAAAAGCATCAAAGTAAAAAGTTGCCCATCAAAGTTTTACATAGGGTAAGTGTTGCCCGCGATGTCATTAAAAAGATCATCCATTCTTACTTCATTAGAGTCATTGAGGAAGTTAATTTGGACAGGGGTGGGTGTTCGGAGACCGGAAAAGTCAGGCATCGGGATTGGCAAGTTCGAGCTCCGCACTTGCTCCAGATATGCCATAAACACTACTGTCATGTTACTCATCTGCGTTTGCCACTGCTACTCGTGTTGGGCAAAGCGGGCATCAACTTGCTCCTGGATGCGGGAATCCATCTCCTCCTATGTTGGCCCTGTGATTCGGTTTGAACAATCAATGTCGTTGAGCAGCACTTCAGCTTCGGACTGTATTGTTCACAAAAGTAACCAAATTTTGAAATAGAGTATAATACTCAAGGCGTATATGTCTCATTAAAACGAGAGTGTTACCTTAATTAGTAGGATTGGGAGAAGAGGGGGGGGGGGGGGGGGCACATTGATGATAGAGTATATTATATAGACCCCTGGTCTGCCGACCATTGGGTCTGGACACCAGCCCAGATACACGGGTGGGAAATATTCACAGTATTGTACATTATTAATATTATTCAGGTATTCTAGATTAACTTTTTATATTATCAGTCATTTTAGATAACTTGGTCCGTCGAGCCATATTAGAGGCCCAGACCCGGATTTTCCTTTATATACCCCTTATAAACCCTAATTCCTAAATAAATTCGTTCATAATACAATAACACATTCATTTCTTTCTCTTTTGTCTCAATCTCTCCTAAATTATATAGTTTGGATATCATTGTATCCCTCATTTGATACTTTCATTGAGAGATTTGAACAAAATCAATTGAGAATCCTCCCTAAAATATCCAAAAATTCATCCCAATCACAAAAAATCACAAAAATCAAGCCAACGATTATTCTGCAAAAGAAAAAAAATAATGACAGAAAAGTTGGATAATTCCATATCTGAAAAATGGAGAAGTTGGTCTGAAACTCTACGGATCGGAGTAAGCAACCGGAATCCAGGCTAACCACTAGTGACAACGCTACAATAGAGTCGTTCTCTGCAGCGAATTTGCGGCAGGAGATTCCGCCGCCGATCCACACACTTTGGTGCTCTGTCACATGGCGGTCTACTCAACGTGCAAGTCCAAAGTCGGGACACGCATCGAAGTGTGACTCAAGGTACGGACGTTGTCACCTCCACCATGGCACCACCTGCTTCATCCATGGCTTTCCACCACGCATTGCGCTCTGTTGCCGCTCAACGACCTGTTACAACGTCGCTAGGTCAAGGTTGCAGCAGGAGATTGCCGACCAAAGGTCTCTTCACCACCTGAAGAATCAGGAGAACACGACCTATCTCAGGCAACAATGGAGGACGGTCTTTCCAAATGTGGCAGTGGTATACAATTTTCTCTCCTCCAGTGAAGCCGACTGTTCTCACCTTGGCCAACAGCAACTCCGACTACGCAGCCTTGCCTTCGTGCAACGACTATGGCCAAAGGACTCTGCCTTTTCGTCGGCATGGAGGACAACAAGTATCTCCCTTGCACCTGTTCGATATATTCATCATTGGAACCTGCAAAATAACGTTAGGAAAATAAAGTGACTCGAGACGCATCATACGCTGTCCTAAAGAAAGTATTTCCGATGACCTGAAATAATCCCCCAAGATATAAAGAGCCCTTCGGCGAATTTGCCGGACACAGAATCTACGAGGAAATAGTTTTTGTATCGCTCGCAACCCAACAGGTTGTTTATACGTAGTATATATAAAGTAGTATATGTATATGAAAGCTTCACAGTATTAATATGGCTACGTAAGGTGGTTAGTGTATCTCTCGCAAAAGATATGTATAAAACAAAGCACTAGCTAGCCATTTAAATAGTTAGTACGCAGTAACTAAAATATGATTTGTTGTTATGGACACTTGGTGATCCACGAAGGTAGGAGAACTACGTGGACAGGCGGGATAGCCATGCACGAAAGCACATTAACCAACTTGCTCATTCAACGTTGGTTTAAACAAAATACCTTTGTATAGGAAATGTTTAAAAAGTTATCCGCACTAACTCACTTGTTCAAAATATTAAAATATTTAAATTTGAAAGAAGTAAGCTTACCCAAGGAAATTTTGGTCAGCAACCAATTACACATTCCTAGTTTGGAAGACCCATTAAAAATAGTTTAATCATAAACTAATTAAAAACAAATTTTATTTGAAATACAACATAATTTTCCAACAATCCCCCACATATTTCAAATAAACATTTGAGGTTAAAAAATAATTTTGAAAATCTGCTAGATTAACGGGAATGAGACTTTAAGTCTGGTGTCCGAAGACTATGAACCAAACCGAGATGATCAAGTCTTTACAAACCGAGCTTTTGGTGAAACATATAGTTTCTATGAACCAATAAGCTACTATGATAAGTAAGGGTCTTAATGGCCATGTCTCACTCCCCACAATTCCTCGCGTTAACGTCGTGGTGCGCCTTTAGGCCATGCACGTGCTTGGTATTCTTGTGTGCTCTAGAAGTGTTCTCAATGCTTCATGGAGGCGGCCCCCACCTCACACTCATATAGGTGATCTCATCAAGTGTGTCCTGCACTTGACATAGCTGTCATAACGCTATGAAAATCATTAAGTGTCTTAATTAGCTCAGTCTCTCAAAGAATGCAGTCTAGCCTCACCCTAGAAATGAACATTTAAAATAGACTAGCAGAACAAATAGAAGACTTGTTATTACTCATATGAACCTGCTTCATGGGATCTCCAATCACACAAGTTGGGTTACCATCCTTATTTGGGTTACCATCCTTATTTGTTATCAAGTGACAAAGTTCATCTCCCTCGGTGTATTGAATATAATATCCTAGGATTTCGGCCAAAGGAGACTTTGGGCTCCACTCGTCATAGTTATATGACAACTTTATATTTCATATATTTCATATGGTATTGTTGTATACGTCTATACAACAATATAATTTCAAAATTATATCATCATTGTATCACTATAATACAATGGCATAGCTCACCAAATACAGATTTTTTTTTGCGTTTATACAATTTTGCTCAATCTTTCGACATCAAGCCGAGTTTCACATAATTTGTTAGTTTTAAAAAATTCACCATTTGAGCATCAAGACTAACATATCTTAATCATTAATATAAGAATAAAATACTTGTCTTATATGTAAACTGAAATGGTAACACAGTTGTATAGTATCCACGATTCTAGGAGATAATTTCATCCCTTTCAAAATAATACTACATTTTGAATATACGTACGGAGTATAACATTAATCTCACTAAGTATTACAAAATGCAAATAATTATCCAAGATACATGCAGATAACATGAGAATATTGGGTTATCATGTACGTACAATATCAAAGCAACCTCGCTTAAATTTTACGAGAACAACTGCACAGCTAAACTACGTAACCATGCATAAATACGTAACTAAATACGAAGTATTACGTTTGTAGTAATATAAATAATTTAACATGTGTGGAAACTAAACTCCAAAGTTTGCTAACCCTGTATACTTGTAACAAATAATTAAGCCACCTCAATATAAAGCTTACAAACCCAGAAGGAATTACGCATGCATGCCATATAGACTAAAACGGTACATGCATAAATTTAAAAACCCAATAGAAAAACTCCAGAGCAATTACTTAAAGCAAATATAATTAAAATAAAGAGATAAACAATGAGACTATCCCAATAAAAAGTAATCAAACAGATTTGTATTGCCACTTAACCATGCATGTGAAATAGCCAATGAAACAAGCAGATTTCGTAATAATCATGCGAATTGCCCATAAACTTCGACAAATGCAATTACGTATAATAACATAGTCAACCAACAAATACAGAATTCACATATTACATATTTACATATTACATATATGACACCGTAATTATTAAAACCACAATTAAAAAGGAAACAAAATGAAAAATAAAATCATTATGTAAATAACATATTCCAACGTAACATATATTTTATTCTATAGAAAATTCATAATATAATAAAGGTGCGTACAACACTTACCAAATAAAATAGAAAAACAGAATGTAGGTCCTACTTATTAAACAATAATTAGAAAGCAAATCACTTCAACACCTCTAACACATTCAACATGAAAAGCCCTTGATTACAATAACCTCTTCCAATAAATATATTATTTTTAGTGAGAACCACCTTGTCGGATTCAAAAGATGCCTTGACACCAGCTCTTCCCAAGAGTGAGACGGAGATTATATTGGTCCGTATCTCGAGCACACGAAGTACGTCAGTGAGTGATAATGTCTTGCCGGATGTGAGTTTGATATTAACTTTGACATTCCCGTGCACCTTGGTTGTTCTAGAATCACCAAGGTGTATAGGAGGAAAACACAATTTTGTCTTGCCAAATATGCCTAGTAGCTCCCGAGTCTTCCACTCACTCGTTCACATCCGCAACTAGGCAGATTTATGAAACAACCACATTTATAATATCATCACCTTCAGCTAAGTTTGCACTTGGTTTGGGTTGATTTTAGTTTTTCACAGATGCCCGTTTCCTACACTCACTAGCACGTTGTCCCAGTTTCCCACAAACATAACAATCAGGCTTTCTTTTAAAATGTGTGGTTGTTCTATATTTATTGTAATTGGGCTTATTATTAAAGTGATTATTTCCATACCTCCTTTTGTTTTCCGTCTCCACCAAGTTTGCATTTGAAGTATATTCCTTTGCTTGACACTTGGCATTTTCTTTCCTGTTTGTGTCTTCAATGATGATGTGGGTAATCACATCATTGAATGACATAAGCCCTAAGTCATGTTTGAGGTCCCGTCTGTAATCCCTCCAGGACTCCGGCAACTTCTCAATTAGGATTCCGCAATCGGGATGACTTGAGCAGGTGTGTTCGCACCATAATGATATTTTCTTTAAATTGTTGGATATATTCATCATCAGAACCTGCAAAATAACGTTAGAAAAATAAAATGGCTCGAGACGCATTAGACATTGTCCTAAAGAAAGTATTTCCTATGACCAAAAATCTCCCCCCAAGATATAACAAGCCCTTCTATGATTTTGTCGAACACAGAATCTACGAGGAAATAGTTTTTGTATCATTCGCAACCCATCAGTTTGTTTATACGTAGTATATATAAAGCTGTATACGCATATGAAAGCTCCACAATATTAATATGGCTACGTAAGGTGGTTAGTGTATCTCTCGCAAAAGATATGTATAAAATAAAGCACTAGCAAGCCATTTAAATAGTTAGTACGCAAGAATTAAAATACGATTTGTTGTTGTAGAGACTTGGTGATCCACAAAGGTAGGAGAACTACGCGGACAACCATGCACGGAAGCACGTTAACCAACTTGCTCATTCAACGTTTGTTTAAACAAAATACATCCATGTAGGAAATGTTCAAAAAGTTATCCGCACTAACTCACTTGTTCAAAATATTAAAATATTTAAATTTGAAAGAAGCTTAGCCGAAATTTTGGTCAACAACCAATTGCACATTCCTAGTTTGGAAGACCCATTAAAAAAATAGTTTAATCATAAACTAATCAAAAACAAATTTTATTTGAAATACTACATTATTTTATAACACACCTCCAGATCCGCAGACCTTCCTCATTTCTCCAGACCTAGTGGTAGTTGCGGAGAATAAATATGAGCCAAGACCATTCAACAAATCTGCCATATTCTTACAAATTAGCTTTGGCTCAAGGGAATTAGTAGGAATCAGCAAGCTCTTGTTCATTTCAGTCAAGCCCATCAATATTGGCCTAAAGTGATATCGAAACAAAAGCTAAGTGTCCCGAAATTCCTTCATATAATTGTTTGATTATATATTTACAAAAGAAAAACATAAATTGAAACATTAATAATATAGTATCAAACTTCGATCTCAAGGGGCGAGTCATTTGTTAAAAGCATACGTCTTGCAGATTCGAACTATGAACCTAAGTGGCAAGTTGGGCTACATTATTAATTTAGTATCATTATTTTTAAGTAGTATGTATTTTTTTACATTGAAAAAACGGATTTATAGAATCAATTACTCACTCAAACCGTTAGAGTGCTGAACTCTCGCACCAACGGGTCACGTCATACGGGTGTGGCGATTAGTATGCATGCTCTCAATCTAAATGTCATCTAATGCATACTCCAGATTCTATGTTTTGTACGAGTTATGTGTGCTCTATAACTATCATATTCAAACTCCAAACCCCGAAAGGTAGGTTCAGTTCTAGATAACGACCACGCTTCAACTAAGCATAGAAATTTAGCTTGAACTCTAGCTTTGAATTTGAGGCCACTTAACTTAGGCCCAAATCCAATAACGAACTATAAGCTCTAGAAATTATAACAATTTTACTTGAATGTGCAGTTGCAACTAAATGACGACATCATACCGCCCCTCACAATGTACCGCCAATCATCTTTATTTGATGACGTGGAGCTCATGTAACACCCACCCCGCCCGGTCTGGCCGGTTCGGGACAGATGTCACTGTCGTTTATCATTTAATATAAATATATCTTTATAGCTATTTTAGAAGGTATTTTCCATAGAAAGTAATTAATAAGATTGATATTATTTTTGTTCAATGGTAGTCTGAAAATAAAAGACAATTAACCAAATACATAACAACTTGAAATAAAACTCCGATTATTACATTAGCATATTTTATTTTAAAATGGTGTTGGTTGTACCAACTTATTTAAAATATGATAGTAAATGAAATATGTGAAATGCACTCTCGTCCAGATGTCTCATAGTCCCGGGGCTCCAGCTTGCTCCTCATATTCACCTACGTGTAGAAAAACTACACGCTCAGCAATGAATTGCTGAGTGGTACTATAATATAACATGTAATAACAAACATATATCTATATTTTCTACTCAATTTTATGAAAAATAAACATTAATATCATTATAGTCAATTTACATTATTACAACATATGATTAAAGCATATTACACGTTATCATCATAGAAGTCAAATTAAACTAATACTATCATTTCGCATAATATAATTTAACACTTGGAAACATGTAACATAAATCATGAGAATTTTGTCAAAATTCATGTTCAAAAATACACATAAGGATTCCGTATAATCTTTACCCATTGCTTCTTTTCAATTCAGATCATTTCGTGACTTGTCCACAATTTCAAAACCGATTACGGTAAGTTCGTATCACATATAAGTAATCATAAAGCAGAAAGCTTATATCCATTAAGGAAATAATCATACGTAAATCTTGTTCAAAATCATCATAAGCTAGTAGCTCAACTTTCCGAACATTTCATTCTTTATCATTTATTTCGGCCTTTACTCTTAGGACTAGACTCTAGCTAAGGATACAAATATCGTGGGACCCTGGCCGGGGTCGTATGCTAGCACACCGTGGGAGAACGAATTGTCGAAACAACCCGAACTCAACGTGGGAGAACGAATCGTCCAGCCGAAACTGAAACAACCCGAACTCAGCGTGGGAGAACAAATCGTCCAGTCGAAACTGAAACAACCCGAACTCAACGTGGGAGAACAAATCGTCCCGTCGAAACTGAAACAACCCGAACTCAGCGTGGGAGTCGTAGTTAGTAAAACCAACTCGTACTCAATTCGTGGGGAAACAAAACTATCCAAGTAGAACTTGAATAATCTGCCTCCAAAACATGTAAACGTGGGTACCCAAAAACTGTCATCTAATCCCGGAGTAAGGCTCTTTTCCAAAATATTTCATAAATTCGTGTACTCCGTATTTGTTTTCCTCAGAAACTTGACCTTCAAAATGTATGCCTTTTACACGTATGTAAAATTTTAAAAGATACTACGTATATGTTTTTATTGTTAACCGTGGCAGATATATTTTGTAAAGCCCATCAACGAATTCAGAAATTCGATCACCTTCTAATTATAGTCATTTCATAATTGATAAATATATACTTCCATGTAATGGCGACAATATTAATCACATGCTTTGTCTAAAAATAGTACAGTACCGTAAGGTAATGTCACAAGCAATACCTAAACTAGTCCTCCATATTTATTTTGACTAAATACTCTTATCTTTGATTAATTGGGATAAAATCTAAATTAAAAACCATATTATAATAATAACTCTAACACCTCATTATTCATTATTAATCATTATATTACTACGGAGTATTATATACGTATATCTTTAATGAATCGTAAAGAAACATAAAGCATTGACGTAGTATAGAAGTAGTGCATTATCTTAGCTTTAATCATGAAAACGGATATCAGGGTTTAATCAATTGACTAAGAATGAAATTAATATAAAAGCTTACGTTATAGCAGTGCAAACATCTTTTCCTTTAATAACCAAATTAATGACACTTAATAAATGTCGTATTATTTTGAAAAGAATTGAAAATAATGATATGTGATACATGTCGTATTATAATACTGACCTTAAATAGTGATATAAATTCCATTAAGATAATAGACCAAGCTCCTTTCCAAAATTTCAGCTCAAGAGATCATAATTTGTGCCGTCGTTCACTATGCTGATCAAGCTAATTAATCACTCTTATGAATAGCAGCCATACTTTTCTCGCTACTTGATAATACGTAATATTTATATTGCTATTTGCTAATACTATAAATGAGTTTAATATATTTTGTTTTTGAGCTGGTAATTATTGCCAAAGCAGCTAGGTGTACATATATATAGTAGTAGTATGTACGAAGTAGCTAGTATATAAGGTGCATGTATGTATATGATAAGGGTCTTGGTTTGTCTTCTCCGCATGCTTCATTGTCTATTTATGCATGATTCTTGCCACATGTCCTTCATGCATTATCATCATTTTTGTTTGATACGGAGTATGTAAAACTTATGCTTAGTGTCCAACATAATTTCTTTGTTGTTGCCGAGTGGAGCTAGCTAGTTTTGATTCTTCCTACAATTTGTCTTGTTCCATTTAATTACATTGTTTTCCTTTACTTAATTTTGGACCAATTATATTTTAGTTCCATCTATACATTTTTTTAAACTGATATTCGAATCCCAAACTTCACTTTTGTTTTAGCATTTAATATCTGTGCATTATATATAAAAGTCGTCTCTATTGTTTGAATTGCTTATATACAATAATAAAAAGTCGTTTTTATAAACATAATAGGCTGCTTCTATCACTGTTATTTATAAATTAAATATATTCTAATAAAGAAGTTTTAGATCTTAACTGCTAGACCGAGTTTTGGGGTGTTACAGCTCAACACGCTCCTTGATCATATACCGCCTAGTCATATTTATTTGATAACTTGGAGCTCATATAGCCCCCCTCGGCCATATACCTCCTAGTCATCTTTATTTGATGACGTGAAGCTCATAGAGGCTTCTCGGTCATATATCTCATAGTCATCTTTATTTCATGACCCAAACATCACATTATGGACAGTTGCTCAACCTATCTTTTAGTCATCTTTATTTGAAAACTAGAACTACATATCATGTCTAGCTATTCGCATATGAAGACCCGTCTCGGCCATTCCCTCAGTAGATGGATATTGTCACAACTACACGCTTAGGCCGAAAGGCTCACCACTTTGCTTCATTGTGGTGGCATCCAGTGTACTCTTTTTCTCTCATTAGGGTTTTTTCTCACCATGTTTTTTCCTAGTGAGATTTTTAACGATGCATCTTCCCATTGTGGACAAAGGTGTCGACCCTCGGCCCATACAGCAATCATCATGAGACATACCCTACTCTACTCCTCTTCACCTCATCACTACATTCGCCTCAAGGAGTGAGGGACTGTAAGAGCGGATGAATTAGCACCTCCGTTAATCGTAGAAGCACAAAATTCATTTTTTTTACAAAGATTGTCACTTGCATCAGCCGCACTATCACCTGGAAGATTAGCACATAGTTCTACTCCCTTTTGCCTCGAGTACTCTCGCCTCAAGAAGTGGGGATAAGAGAGGAGAGGCCTCAGGATCTGCACTTCAACATCTCCGACCGTCCATGTTTTGATCAAATGGTTCCCGAGAAACGGGCACCGTGCCTTGCTTTGAAGTGTAGTAGAGGTTCCGGATTCTACTTTATTACCTACTTTACACCCAATTTTCTCTCTCCCACTACACATAATCTACTTTTTGTAAGAATATGAGGGAGAAGTCAAAAGCAAAAAATTCACTTTCTTAAAAAATGTAAAGTCAAACTATGAAGTTTACTTAGGCCCGGAGGAAGTATTAGTTTTAACATTTCATTACTAACTTTAACATTTACTCTCCAGATTAAAGGTATTATGAGCCTGTTTGGTAACTAATATTTTAAGATTATTAGTCTTATTTGTCATTTTTGTTTTTCAAACACAACACTTTTGATTTTATGCGCTGAATAATATAATAATCAACATAATTAAGTTTTAAATTAGTTTTGTGTATGGGTGTGATTGGTCTAGTCTGGGTCTGGGTTTTGCTAAATCGAGAAATTACCCTTAATCTCTGAAGTTATGAAAATTAAGGACCGAAACAAAATTCGATATATTCGGTTCGAGTTGGATTTTTAATAGCTTAGGTTCGGTCTGGGTTTGGGTAGCGGTTAACGCCCAAATGAGAAATCATCACCTTATTATTTCATTATTTATAATCTATTTTCAAATTAAATTACTCAACAATATAAATTTTAAACATTAAAACAAATGTTAGTTTTCAAAATCACCAACAATTCAAATCCAATCAAAATAGTTTATTTGAATTTTGTGTTTAAGATACACAAAAATAAAAAAAAAAATGAATAATTTCTTGTTCAAAAGCTTGTCGTCATCATAACTGAATTTCTCTCTCTAGGGCATCCAGCCGCTAGAGCTCTTCTCTTCGCTCTCGGAATTCCTGAGGTGTGGCTGCCGGAGTTGTTTGGCTCTGTTTTCGTGGATTCTACCTCGCGCGAAGAAGAACACCGAGGACCGCAGGTCTGCAGGGGTGCGGCGAAACTATACCGAGAAGGCAACAATTTTCGTAGCGTGGTGGCTGTAGAATGACGCACGAGGTTCGAAGGTTAGGTCGTTGAATCAGAAGAGAGAATAAAATTAAGCAGTAATTGTCTGATAATCGCACGTAGCGGGGGTGAATTTTATTGGAACAGATCTGGTTTCGATCTCGTCTGTGTTAGGTGGCGACAAAGGATGTTTGGTAGAGAACCTGATGAATAAGAGGCAGCGTGAGGAAGAAGCTTCGTTACTGCTTATTTTTCTGTTGTTTACTTTTATTATTGTAAGACTCTTGCATTAGGATTATGTGAGGTTTGGTTTGCTTCAATCGTCTGTGGCACATGTTTGCCCATTAATGGATCAACGAGTTATATTGCTTGTTTGAAGTCTGAGTCTGGTTCGCGGGCTGACAGTTGCATGTGGTTCCTTACTTTTTTTACTCCCATTCTGAATGCTAATGCTTTGATATCAAATTAAGCCCCCTTCTTCCAAAAAAAGATACAAAAAATGTGTTTAAAGCTAGTAAGAATATATTTCCATGGTTTCTACGATGTACAAATTGAACATGGTTATAGTCACTAAAAGTTTTTGAATCATTTTTGTCTATATGCTTATACTAGTAATGTATTAGAAAGGGAAATAGTATTGGTATATTCAATGATTTTATATTAAAGGTGATCGTTTCGGGTTTTGACTAGTTCGGACTGAGTTATATATATTTTAGGGACTGTTAGTGAACTTGTTTTTCGTGTCTCATCCGTGTATTATTATTCGAGCCGTATAAAAACAAGAAAATTGAGATATTTTTCAGTTCGGGCTAGGTTCGGTTTCTGGATTTCGATTCGGTTACCGTAAAGATCATTATAACTATTTTCCATAAGGTTTTTCTTTATTGATCATTACAAATATTTTAACTAATAATATTTCCGCAAATAAAAAAAGTGGCAAGTCATCGGTTCAACTAGAATTTCACCGGTCTAAATAGATTCAACTCATTCAATCTATATCAATATTATCAAATGAATAGGATTTGAAATGAGTAAAGGGTCAGTTTGGTACTCGAAGTTGCATAAAGAGGGTCAAATAAGTCTTTATATAAGAGGCTCTGTCTGGCCATCGTCACTTGGGGCGGTTCGCGGTGGAATTTTTTGACGATTTTTTTAACATCTTAGTCATTAAGTCTAGTTTTCTTATACAAAATTTCAGCTAAAACTTCAATCGAGAAGACATTCAAATGAATTCTTGAAAATAACCGTGCAGTTAAAAGCAAATTTATCTTAAAGAATTCATTTGAATGTCTTCCCGATTGAAGTTTTAGCTGAAATTTGGTATGAGTAAACTAGACTTAATGAATACGATGTTCAAAAAATTTCATCAAAAAATTCCATCGAGAACCGCCCCAAATGGCGACAGACGGACAGTAAGAACTTATTTGACCATTTTTATGCAACTTCGAGTACAAAACTGACCTTTTACTCGATTTGAAATGTATCAAACGAAATGATTTAAAGTGATTGGCCCAAAGTGTTTGATCCGGTCCAATTAGAAAATCAATGGCCAAGATCTCGAATAACCAAACCCTACTTCCGCCTGTCTTTATACCGTTTCTCTACCAATTCATCCGAGCTATCATCTCTCTACCGCTCATATCTCAATCAGACGGCCGTACGCTCTCTCAGTTTGCATATCCTCTTCCCCTTAGGTTAGTCGATTATTACAGTCTGCTTATTTTACCTGTTGTTGAGGTTCGTTCTCTATCTGTTCTTTCATTTAAACGATGAATAATTTTCTAAATTAAGGAGTTGTAATGTAATTGTAATATAACGAACAACCAATACGCTGGCAGTGTTGCCTTCGTACGGAGCAGAACAACCAATATGCTGTGTTTTGTTTTTGTGTGTGTGTGTGAAAAAGTAAACTATTTTCGTTCAATTTGTGAAGTTAAATGGCGGGTTGACTGTAGCTGTTTTATAATGTTTATAAATGACTCTACATATATGCTTAGACAACTGCTAATTGAGATTTTGCCCTACCTATTAATTTGCTGATGTTTACTTGATGGTATTTATTTAGTTATTTATTTGATTGAAAAATAATTTTGCCTATAACGCTGCACTGCGTTCTGCTAAATTTAGACGTTTTGACCTTGTACACCTGACAGATTTGCCAAGATGATGAACGATGAGGGACAATTTATGGATCTCTATGTCCCAAGGAAGTGGTATGATCTTATGATATTTTATCAGTTTTATTTACAAAATTGTGCGTTTACAGCATGTTTGTTATGCAAAAAAGAAGAGACTTTTAAGTTTAGGAATAGTGCGGGCCTTAAAGGAAACTAACGGTGCTAGGATTACGATCTTGATGCAGCTCTGCCACAAACAGGCTGATCACTTCAAAGGACCATGCTTCTGTCCAAATCAATGTTGGCCATTTGAATGATGATGGTGTATTTAATGGAAAGTCCACCACTTTTGCCTTGTGCGGATTTGTCCGTGCTCAGGTAAGCTGTTCTTTGGAGTTTGAAACTCTTTTCTCTACCGCATCATTCTTTTTATTTTTATTTGCTTCATGTTTTTGTTTGCCTGATATTTCAAAAAACAAGCATGATTTCTAGGAATTCGTCTGCAGTTTTTAAAGTTCAACGATCCAAAAAATTGGTGGGCTTTTGACCCGATGCATATTCTCACTTAGATACCAATTCAACTATGTGATCATAGCTTTATGTTTCCCTTTTGATTTTTTTAAGTTTTTCTAAAAAGGAATAGACATTTGTTTCCCAGAATTTATGTTTTGATATAGTTTTCTGAATTTTGGTGTACTGTGGTGGTAAGGGTGGAGACAGGGGGAGGCTGGAGGGGCAAGAAAAAACTTGTGATGTATATGCCCATGTATACATATTTATGGGCAGTAAAAAATATAGTCAAATTTTAAGCTTTGACTCCTACAACATAAATTCTTTATGTCTGGCCCCCGTAAATTCTTCAACGGTGTTATAGGCCTACAACTGGCTGTTTCAAGTTAAAATTAGCTGTCCTTTAACATATTTTTGCTGTTGAGATTTAGTTTCAAGTTCACACATTATTAGATTTAAGTACAGCTAATGCATAATGTTTTGTCACCATTATAAAAAGGAAAAAAATGTTTCCAAATCCATTAATTCATTATCTTCTGACATTTTCTAATTCTGGGATTTAATGCTGGAATGTATGCATGCTTACTACAGATTATATAACTTAAAGTAATTGATATGCTTCTCTCTTTATAAAAGTTAGCTTATTTTTACAATTGTAATAGTTTTATCATATGCTTGGCATTTCACTCTATGCCCCTATTTTATATTTAGAACTAATTAAAACTAATAAAAAAGTTAAGATTGAGTGATCTTAAACACACATATTTAGACATCTCAAGTGCATATCAAATGTTACATCCAGTGCTTCTTGTCTGGACTGCTTTTATGAGCAATCACTAATCAATCATAGATCATTCCCAACATTTAGAAGTTTCTGAGCTGTAAGGTTTATATGCTAATGAGTTTCATATTCATATTGTCAATATCTATCTGTCATTAAGTTATGAGTGTTTATATAGTTGCCTTGTTCGTATTATGCAAAGCTTTGGTAAATTATACTGCATATAATACTCTTCTAAGAATAGTAGCTTATGTAGGATTCTGCTTCATTTATGATTTTCAGGGAGACGCTGACAGTGCTGTTGACAGGCTCTGGCAGAAGAAGAGACATGAACTCAAGCAGTGATCACTCCTGCTCTTAGTTTGCATTGAGTTTCCTTGTCAGTGCTATTTGAGATTTACTTCACTATTTAGTAGCTGCAATTAGCATTGTTTGTACCTTTTTTGCGTACTACTTGCCTTGATCTTGGTTTTATATTTCTAAAGACTATAAAGACAGACAATGGAGCACTTGTTTGCGTAGTAAATTTGATTTGAGAAGTTTTCTGCGTGTTATGTCATTCTGTGTTTCTATTTTTTCTCATAGATTTATTCTGTTGTCCAGACAATGGAGCACTTGTTTGCGAAATGCTTGGAAAAACCTAAAATTCTTTAAAGTTTTATTGGGATTTCTTTGTATCACTCTCTGTCCTCTTTTGGTCCCATTTCCGACCTTTCACTAGGTCTGTAAGTCTGTTAATATTTGTTTACGAACTGCACCAATGACCAACCTCAGTACCTCACATATAAGTGTTTACTTTTATGTGGATATAAAGATATACTCACAAGCTAATTGCAAACTAAATTTTAAATGCCACAACAAATGTATTGAGTCACTACTAGTCCTGGACTCGGGCTGGGTTGGGTCCAGGCCTAGGCCTGGGCGGGCTGCTGGTTCTGAATAGGCGGGCCTGTGACCGGCCCGGGTAGCCATTGGGACCGGTCCGGGCCAAGCTGGGCTGGGCCTCGGGTCAATTTTTTTCCTATATCTAATTAACCTCCTCTCACCCCCAACCCCCCAAACCACCCCAAATGGCCCAAAATACCCAGCCCAACCTTGAAAAGTTAAAAAAAATTGAAAAAAAATTAAAAAGCCCGGAATTGGGCTTAAACCGGCCCCTGGGTGACCTGAGCCTGCACCGGGAACCCCCTGGGCAGGGCCTACCCGGACCGGTCACTGGCCGGGCCAATTCACCACCACAGTACCGGTCCCGGGCCGGTTTCGGGTCGGGCCACCCAGACCGAGTCCATCACTAGTCACTACCACTTAGCGATGGAGTGATAAACGGATGGACCTAGGTTGGTCCAAAAAAATTGTTTCGGCTTGATGGTTTCAAGTTAAAAAAAGTTGGTCGGTTCGGGATCAGCACCGGGATTGTAACTGCCCGGCTCGGTCCCCAATGGAGTGAACTGGGATTGTGAACTACTCTTGGGTGGACAGAGCCAATCCCAGACTCGTAACCGGAAATTCCTGTTCCTTGGCTGGACCGCTGGATCGGGGCCACCCCTAGTAGGCTAGTATCACTAAAAGTGTTTTTTAAGTGATTTTGGAAAAAGTGTTTAATAATAAAAGTTGGTAGTAGGGGTGGATTCGGGCCGGGCGGCCTAGCCCGGTCACTGTTTGAACCGGCCCGAACTGCCGGCCCGGCCAGGGACCGTTCCGGGTAGGCCCGACCCGCTGGGGTTCCGGGTTGAGCTCGGGCCCTTGAAAAGGTGAACTGGCCCGGCCGGTCCGGGCCCGGTCCGGGCCTATTTATTTATTTATTTATTTATTTATTTATTTATTTATTTATTTATTTATTTATTTATTTATTTATTCATTTATTTATGTATTTATTTATTTATTTATTTATTTATTTATTTATTTATTTATTTATTTATTTATTTATTTATTTATTTATTTATTTATTTATTTAATTTATTTATTTATTTATTTATTTATTTATTTATTTATTTATTTATTTATTTATTTATTTATTTATTTATTTATTTATTTATTTATTTATTTATTTATTTATTTATTTATTTATTTATTTATTTATTTATTTATTTATTTATTTATTTATTTATTTATTTATTTATTTATTTATTTATTTATTTATTTATTTATTTATTTATTTATTTATTTATTTATTTATTTATTTATTTATTTATTTTTGAATTTTTTTAAGTTTTTGGGTTGGACTGGGTATTTTGGGCCATTTGAGGTGGTTTGGGGAGGGTTGAGGGTTAATTAGGAAAAGCCAAAAAAAATTAAGTAGAATCGAGGCCCGGCCGAACCGGACTCGGGGGTTACCCGGGCCGGTTTCCGGGCCTCCCCTTTCATGATCCGAGGCCCGGCCCGAACCGGACCCGGGGGTACCTCGGGCCAGTTTCCGGGCCTCCCCTTTCATGGACCGAGGCCCGACCGGGCCCAGGCCCGAACCGGGCCCGAACCGGCCCGAGTCCACCCCTAGTTGGTAGTGTTGAGAAAAAAATGCTTTTGAAAAGGTGAGTGGACAGTGTGTGATAAAATAATTGTTTTTTTGTACAGTAGAGAGGGTAGTTTAAATCACCTCTCTACTAGCTTTCGTTTTTAAGCTTTATAGTGCTTTTTAAAGTAGAAGTAGGTATTAGCAAACACTTTGGAATGTTATTGTGTGTAGTTTAAAACACCCCTCTAGTGAGAAGTGCTTATTTAAGTGTTAGCACACTCCTTAGCTGTTGTTGGCAATGCTTTCTTGTGGAATGTTATTGTGAGTCTTTGACAATCCACAACTTTTTATCTTTGAAAAAAATCTCCTGACTCTGGCAGTTGCCAGCGGTATAAGGCACAGTACGCCATGAACAGAAAGGGTGTGAGGGGCAGTTGGGATGAATTAGAGAGAAGAAATTTAAATTAATTAAACAAATCATAATTCTCACTATATAGAAGTGATATTCATGCCATTCATTCTATCTTATACTCCCAATTACCAAACAAACACAAATTTAAACTGTAAAGAAGTTCTAACATTTCAGTACATGCATAAATGTAATAAAAAGTATCCGCCTTTCTGCCTCACATTGGAAGATATTCTCTAGCAATCCTGCCATTACCCCCTTCTGGGTAAAAGCCACCGGGGATGTGTTCATCGCCAGTGTTGTATAAAATCCTCAGTATTTCTGCCGGAGTTCTCTTATAGGAGAGTGATTCAGCATCTTCTGAAAGAACATTGCTAGTCGTCCGATTCTCCGCCCCAAGGATTGGAGGAACAAACAACCCTTCATCCTTGACACCACATGCTGACAGCCGGTTTCTCAGCATTGAAATGCGGATGGTGAAATCGGCTATGGTGTGACGGTACGGATACACCATTCGCGTAGCTCGCTCATAGAGGTACATTCTGATCACTGCGTCTTGCCCTGCTTCATTCCCGAGTAGTCCTGCAAGTAACTGAAAAGGGGGTGATTGTAATTTGGGCAACCATCATATGTAATTTGGTGCAATGTTTTTGGCACTTACCCTCTTTGTGATATAGCCCCTGATGTTAGGGTTTGCACCCACGTAGCCTACCATTCCAACGTATGGAACTACGTATGAAGCCATCATGAAGTTTATGCTATCCCGGTATGGATCGAATGGCGGTTCAAGTTTACAACCTAATGCTTCATCAAATAATTGGGCAAAAGTATTTGCACTGAGGTCCATCAATGGCCTCTTGAATAATCCAACCCTCGACTTTATTGCCCTGCAAATTGAAATTCATTCAAGCTGAGTTACCACCTATTCTTGAGCTTTATCTGAAAACAGTGAACTCTTTCAAAATAGACAATACTTGTGAAACACATGAAAATTTGTAACATATATGTTGCATATCATGACATGACAATTTGAATATATCAGTTTCTTTGATTCATGTTATGACTAGGAAATAAACTGAACGATACACCTCAAATAACACTAGAATGGCAATTTGTATGATGCATCATCACATGTAGATGCAGCTAGTGGGATAGCTGAAGGTATAAATTAGAATTGACCGATCAAAAACGCTTTCCTAATAATTTTTTGCACATAATTTTATACATGTATAATCAAAGTTTTCTTCAAAAAGACAGGGGACCAACTTAGGACGATGTTGAAGTCCCACACCGGAAAATTGTTACACTAAACTGTAGTCAGTCCATGCAATTTTCGATGCGATTGGATCATCCGAAAACTTTCTTTCTGTCCTCTAGTGCAGGGGTAAGACTGGATACATCCCCCTATCCCAACGTAGGTGGGAGCCTTTTGGCACTGGGGTAATGATGATGACGATGAGATTTTATGGTCTAATTTGTCAAAATCTGGTAGGGTCTAAATTGGTCTCATATCGTAAATTCTTGTTTTACGGGTGCTGCTTTAGTATTGTCAAGGTCTGGTTTGTTAAGTTTGATGTGGGACTGAAATCAATTAAAATTAGACATAAGCCAAAATTAGATTGTTTTCTCTTTCCATGTTTCCAATTCACTACAAAATTAAAACTTTGAGATTCTTACCTACTTGTATAGTACAGTCATATATACAAACATTAGACTAATTAAATAACATAATACAATTTGTTTAATTAATAATCAAACCTTAGATGACCAATTTCTTGATTGCAGAACTCTCTTATGATGTTACGAGTGAGGAAATCAAGATTGGCTCTCTTTACGCCTCTCGGGGGCGGGCCTCCGTTGGCCAGCTCCGGGTTAAGTACGTCAATCCCGTAGCCGTAAGCGGCCCAACAGAAGAACTCAGCCTCCAAGAACTCCAAATTCCCAGCAAATTGGATCAAGTCAATGTCTTCTTTGTACACTGGGGTTGAGTTGTTTGGATATCCTGATGGGCAAAGTGGATTAGAAAGGGAGACTGGGAACATGCTTGAGATCAAGATCATGGAAATGGCAAATATTGTGCAAGTAGAGATTGGGTTAATTGTTATGGCCATTCTTTTTTTGGTTAAGTTTGTAATTTGGAGAGGAAAATAGAGGGATTGCACTATTAAGATGGAGTAGAAATTGACACATTTATATAGGTGAATCTTCACTAGCACACCTAATCTTAACCAAATGCTTACATAGGTTGAACAACGTGAAGCTCTCACCAATATTGTAAACGTCACATCCCTTGCATGGAAACATATAGCTTTTGTTTTGGATGAGGTTTGGAAATATATCGTTTCTCTTTTAAACTAGTTGACTTCTAGTGTTGGTTTGGACCGTTTGGTGATAAGTGATATCATATTTGTGCTCATAATGAACCTAGTTACTTGTATTTTAATGGGTCTTTTTTAATTTTGATCCATAGGCTGTTTTGGTACTTGAATTGCACGTGTATGTTTGACTTTTTTTGAGGGTTTTTCTAAAATATTACTAATACAATCCATGAATATAACTGTTACAATAAATTACTATGCGTAAGTTTTATAGTCAGGGGCGGAGTCAGGACACTAGACCGGACTGAGCCGGTACAAAGAATATTTTTAGAAAAAAAAATTACACGAAACTTTTTACCTTAAAAATTTAGCCATTTTTGAAATTTGGGGTGAGTTAGGGCCTAGGTTGGCCCACCCCTAGCTCCGCCCATGTTTATAGTTACTATGACATAACATTTGAATACAATTATAGTTACTAAAGTTATCAACGTCACATTTTTGTCCACTATTTTTTATTTCGGTTTTATATTTGAAAGTATTTCTTTGAAGAATATGACATTTAAAATTCTAAAAACAGGAATTTTCCCCATCAAGCCTTGAATCAAAGTCAAGGATATAACCGAAGTTTAAAGATCGTAAAGATCGTCTTTTCTTAAGAACTTCCTCAATTATTTTAGGTGAAATTCATACTAATAATCTATACTTTTACCCGTTCTACACTAATGATCCATACCTAAAATATTGATGCAAATAATCCAAACATGTAAATAGATTCACATAAGCATATTAAATGAAACGGAGTTGACGGTTCATTTGATATTCCTATATCACCACCACCACCACCACCACCTCCTCCTCCTCCTTCTACTTCTTCTTCTACACCATCCCCTATCATATACACCATCCCCTGTCACGCACTCACCTCCCTGTAAGTTGTTACTTCTTCCCCCCTCTTTCAAGTTTCAACAGTTTTTTTTTTTCGTTTCATTTTAAACAAACGCCGCATTTTGTACTTCGTACTTCAATTGGGTGAGTTTTATACTTCACCAATTATTTTTGCTTGCCCAGGAGAGATCCTCAAGAATCGGATTGAGGATGAAGCATTATATATGTGTATACATTGGGGCTTCAATTTTACTTTTGAGAATTGATGTTGTACTTTTTGGTTTTGGAACCAACGAATTTTGCTCCTCTAGATTTAGACGTTCTTCACCTTTAAAAATTAAAATTAGCTAGGGATTCTGGTGTTATAATTTCCAATCTTACAATTTAATATTCAAAAAAATATAATGAAATCCATATGATAAATCATTAGGACAGGGAGTGAATAACTAAAAGTGATAATAACATCGTGTGAAAAAATCAAGTGTTCGGCAGACATGAAAAGCTTGAAAAAGAAAACAAAAGAGAACAGCCGGTGGGAAAGATGGCCAGATGGGCATACGTAGAAGAGGATGATGGTATTGGTAAGTGGGATGGATGGGATAAGGGTAATATCAAACAGAAGCTTTACCTCCGTTTCATTTAATCTATTTAAATGGATGTGTTTAAATGGTATTAGTAGAGATTATTATTGTGGAACAGCTCAAAGTAAAGATTATTGATGTGAACTTCACCATAATTTTATTATGGTGACAACTTCGGTACCCATTTAAAAAATGAGGTACCATATCTTCCATTCACTTGATTGGTCCACATCGTTATATTATTTTTAATTTAGATTTAAATAATTCAACTGCAACTATCTTATTGGTCCATGTGGACAAATGTATGGTACCTTATGGATATCATAGAAACTACCTTTTATTATTCTTAACATTGTTGATCGAATTTGATTGGATAGTTTTGAAAAAAGAAATACTCCAATCAAGAGTTCTTGGGCATTCTCCCAGCTACCAAGCCACCACAAATTTTGACAGAAAATTGATGCTTAATCGTGTCTCCTTTCTGGGGACTACCGGTCCATTTTGATCAAACTCATAAATCTACAGGAAGAATACTTCTTAGAACTTTCCATAGAGAAAAAGGAAGGACCAGTATTTTTTGGTCGAAAGTGAGGAGGGCAGCAGCAACAGGGGAAGTCGTCTTCTAAAATGTGGGTTTCAGTTTTGTTGCTTGTTAGTTTTTCTTTTTGGCAGCAAATTTTTGCTAGATCTAGACCGTTTTACTTTTCTATTGCTATGTTGAGTTGGAGTGTAGTTTATTTTTTGAGACACAAGGGCGTATCACCATATATATAGGCATTCTTAAGCATTCTAGACAGAATCACACAGAAACAAGAGAAACAACAAGGACGTGGTGCACAAGCACCTCGGTCACCATCACCTCGTCAAACAGAAGGCATCCAACCAGAAGTCGCATTGTACTAATTAATTAATGTTAAGAGTTACAGACTTTGTCTCAGAAACTACTCGTACAACTTCTGAAAAAATATCTTCTATTTCTTAAAAGACACTTAAAAGTTGTTGTGTCAAACGACTCAAATATATAACCAAATGGAAAGTTCTTGAAATAGGAGTAAAAAGGTTTGAAAATTCCAAAATAGGACTGTCATGTTTTTATTCCCAAAATAGGACTAATTACTGTCAAATTTGGAAAATACTGTCATGTTTGAAGTCTGGTACTGCCAAAACATGACAGTAATTAATCCTATTTTGGGAATAAAAACATGGAAGTCCTATTTTGGAATTTTCAAACTTTTTTAGTCCTATTTCGGCTAATATCGCATAACCAAAAGGTTCTTTTAAATAGTACAAAATTAAAAAAAGTAAACTTATGTTTATCCTGTTAGATTAATGGACTCATATAGTCATACTATATGTAATATTCACAATATATTTTTTATTGGGTTAAATTATATGTTATATCCTATCTTATATTTAGGCCCAAAAATTATTGGTCTTATGGATATTAATTTTAAGTGGGCTGATTAGGGTTAAGCATTCTCTATAAATAGAGAGGTTACAGTCCCTAGTTGAACACGTCATTCCGTCTTTCTGCATCTCATCGTTAGAGAGATAATTATCGAGGGTGTGTATTAACTAGAAGACGCAAACCCCAGCCTCCGTCTTCCGAATATGTTAAGATCATCTCCAATAGAGTCAGGTACGGTTCCGCTCAGTTATTTCTCTAGATAATTTAAATATGAAGATTAAAGTATTCATGAACTTATTCCAACAATCGGTGACATAGCCTTCTTCATATTGAATTATTTGGAATATTCATACTTTTGTTTCAATGTTAAATGATTGAATTTCTGGATTTTCTTTTGTCATATGTCGATTAAATGGAATCGGGGTAATGAGTTTTTGCGATTAGGCAATTCGTTTCTGTCGAAATCGACGGTTGATAATTATACAAAACATTTATTTAATCGGATGTTTTTTTTTCCTTTTGATGCTGCCGATTTTTTTGGCAGCGACATCATTAAGTTCTTTTTTATTTTGTTTCGTTGCCTTATCTTTTAAACCTAACTCGGTCAATCTGGAATGAGGATGTCGCAAATTCGGTATAACTGTGTTGCGACTATCGAGCTGTTGGGTTGCTTTACATCATGTTTTAAGTTCTTACATTTTTTAAATTGGAATCAGCCAGTTTCCTTCGATTGATTTTACTTACGGAAAGAATATTAAACTTGTTCAATGTTTAAGTTTTACTCCCTCCGTCCCAGGGAGAAGTTCTCGGGTTGACTTTCACACATATTAAGGAAATAAAGTTACTGAGGGGTAAATTTTACTGTTTGACACTGTTTCGACACTGTTTGGCACTGTTTCGACACTGTTTGGCATTGTTTTGCACTGTTTGACATTGTTTTAATGTAGGATAACTTTCCATTTAGGGAAATGGGAACTTTTTGTTGGGACTACCAAAAAAGGAAAGTGGGAACTTCTCCCTGGGACGGAGGGAGTAATTATTACTACCTCCATCCCTTTTATATTGGGACGGAAGAGGGTGGCACGAATTTTAAGAAAAGTAGATTTGTATGATTAATATTAATTGATAAAGTAAGAATAAAATAAGAATGATTTTGAATCACATAAATTTTATCAAATATGGTATAAACAATTTTAGAGGGATTTTCCGAAAAAGTAAAACAGGACAATATAAAAGGGACGGAGGGAGTAAGTAATTGATAATGTGAATCGTGAATGGCCCCTTTAGTTTCAATGGGTATTCATGATTGGAAATTGACAAATTGATATACATACGAAAGACCAATTTACTTTTGGTAGACATATATTTCACTTTTGATCTTGACTACTCCATATTACTTTCCAATTTTTGAGTGATTCAATAAAGGATTTTTTCTTTTCGGCTTTGGTAATTAAGACATATATGTGATTATTACCCGTTTTGGTAATTAAATACTTATATGTAATTACGGCCAAGATATTAGTTCTATCAGAAATACATAGTTTGGATGTTACTGGAATTGATTATTTTGTTGGTCATTGTGTTTTGTGGGATGAAAAAATATGTATTACTCCTTCCATCCCATAAAATTTTTCCAACTTTTCTTTTTGGGTCATCCCATAAAATTCTTCCAACTTACCTTTTTGGAACAATTTGTGTGGCTCACATTCATTTCACATATTTCTTACACAATTATAACCATACATTTCCACTTTATTTCACTTCCTTAATATGCATGTCAACTCAAAGTTGAAAGAATTTAGGAAAAATTGACAAGAATAATCTCACTTTTCACTGGTATTCTCATAATAATCTCACCTTTACGTAATCCAATAATAATCTCACCTTTGCACCTCATCTTCTTTCATTGGATCCTGACCTATTGATAACCTACAAAGGTGGGATTATTTATATAAGATTTTCAAAAAAAAAAAAAGGTCCAATGAAAG